CAGATATCTTAGATCAATTAGGCAAAGCCAGGTATTTTTCGTGTTTCGATTTAGCCTCAGGCTTTCATCAAATTCCCCATGGATCCGCAAGACACTTTAACATGCCTAACGTCATTTCGAGTATAAAAAAATACCATTCGGTTTAAAGAACGCCCCCGCGACGTTTCAACGCCTGATAGATAACGTTTTAACCGGACTACAAGGAAATGTTTGCTTTGTTTATTTAGACGATATCGTTATATATGCATAAACTTTAGAAGAACATAAACAAAAATTACACCAAATTTTCGAACGAATCAAAGAAGCTGGTCTTAGCTTACAGCCAGACAAGTGTGAATTTTTTCAAGCGCGAATTAACATATTTAGGCCATATCATATCAGATAAGGGAGTTAAACCCTAACCCAGAAAAGATAAAAGCAATCGAGCAATATTCCGTTCCTAAAAATCATAAACAAATAAAACAATTTTTAGGACTTGTAGGGTATTATCGTAGGTTTATTAAAAATTTCAGCGAAATTACAGAACCATTTACTTCGCTCCTCAGAAAAAATGTGCCATTTAAATGGGAAATGAGGCAACAAATTAATTACGAAAAACTAAAACAGTTACTATCGAGAGAACCTATTTTACAATATCCAGATTTTGATAAAGAATTTTTATTAACTACTGATGCAAGCGATGAAGGAATTGGTGCAATCTTATCACAAGGTGAAATAGGCAGCGATTTTCCCATTGGTTACGCTTCACGAACATTAAATAAAGCAGAAAGAAATTGCGACACAACGGAAAAAGAACTTTTAGCTATTGTCTGGGCAGTGAAACATTTTTGACCTTACTTGTACGGTAAACCATTCAAAATTATCACGGATCACAAGCCGTTAACTTGGCTCTTTAATGTTAAAGATCCATCATCCCGACTAATGCGCTGGCGATTGAAATTAGAATAATATAATTGTAAAGTCGTATACAAAGAAGGAAAACTAAATACAAACGCAGATGCACTCTCTAGAAATCCGCAAATAATGGCCTTTCAGATACAAGTTTCAGGTACTAGCGATGCAAATTTGAGCTATAGCCTATTTTTACATGCACTAAATGATTCATTGTGGGAAACAGATAATATAATCCCTCAAACTTCAGGTAGCATAAAAGGTCTTTTAGTGAAAGAAATAAACTCTTCTCCTAAAATTAAAATTTCTCTTTCTAAAAACGGTAATAAAGCAGAAGACATAACGCTCGCACCGGGAAATATTAAAATTAAAAAAAAGCATCTAACCGAAATAAATCTCGTTACGCGAGAAAATAAAAATACCCCAATAAAT